TACCTATTATCTGTAATGTTATTTTGCTGTTTTCCAAAACATGAGGAAAACATATTTTGAAGCACACAAAATCCTCTAGTGAAGGTTTAGCAAGTACATTAAAAAAGATTAAGAAAGAAGTCAAGTAAATATTTCCCCAAATGCCAAGTGAACCATGCTTCGGGGACATAAGAGCATTGCAGTGACATCTTTTAGAACTGAACATGGCAGAACTGCATCTGCTCTTAGGTCTATGTAATGAGGCAGAGTTTTACATTAACAGTAACTTTGTCTATAACTGGATTTTACCCTTTAGTACAGAGCATGGGCCAGCATGAATGGTTTAATAGTGTATGAAAGCAAACTCTTTGCTTTATTATATAATGGGTTTATTTTATTGTCTGACATAGAAAAAACAATCTTTTTATTGGCTAGATATTTTTAACCCTGTATCACTCTCACTGATGTCACTGAGTTGATACTTGTGGTTCGTTCTGCTTCCCAGGAAAAGCCATTTGATTTTTACTGGAGGACTCTGACTACCCTCTGCACACAATTTACTGAATACTAAGGAGGAAATTTCCCCTCTGTATCTTGGCAGAGAAGCTGGCCACACTGCACTTGAAGTTGCTTTGTGCTGTCCTCTTTCCAACGAGGGCAATTTGCTCTGAAATGCAGCAACACTGGGAACAGCTTGGGCCAGACTGGTTGCTGGGTGTGCACAGTTACAGAGACACAAACATTTCATTTCTTTTTCATAGGCTTATTACTTTAATGTCCATTGATTTTCCCATTCTGGACTAGAGAGCTCATGAGCAAAGCTTTCTCCTCTGGAGGCACACGGAGCCCCCGATGTCCCCAAGTGGTGCCTTCCTGGAGTCCCAGCAATGTCCCAAAATATCACTTTTACCCCCATCCCAGCCAAGAGATGGACAAAAATCTCATGTAAGGCTAATGCTGTGTCATAGCACTGCGAGCTGGTTAACATGGCTTCACTTTACCCACCTGTTGTAATTGCAGTGACAGGCGCTGTGCTTACTCCAATCTCCCATGTGGGTAATGAAAAAACCTTCCTGTGGTTTGTATGAAGGAGAAAAGACATTCACATATATAGTCTCTTTATTACATTATATTAATTGACAGATTGCTCTTATATAAGGTGCCTGGTGCTGGGGTGGTTTGGCAGATTTGTCATTCAGGCATAAGCAGCCAGGTAGCTCTTGTGCCTCTCAGTTGCATAGTGAGTGGTTGCTGTATCTATATTTAGAGGTAGAAGGAAGAGAAGGATGTAAAACAATTACAAACAAAACCTAGGAACAAATATCCCTCCTGGATGTAGGATGCCTAGGTGCCTGCAGACCAGGGATAAAATAATTACTCTAGGGTTTATTAGGAATTATTCTTTACATCTTCTGGATACTTTAGGAATCTCAGTTAATTGAAATTTGTGGCATTGCTCTAAAGAACAAACCCAATGTCTAGGTGGGTAAGTCATAAACCAGGAGGCCTGGCTAACGAAATGTGAGACGCGTGTGACCAGACAACCATCCTTCCTCCCCTTGGGAACCCCATTGGCAAAGGTTGGACGGAAGGAGTAATTAATACTGGAAATGAAAGGCAAATGAAATATTTCTGAGTAGGTGAAGGAAAAGGGAGAAGGTGACCTGGAGGTGCTGATTTGTTTCTTTGCCCCAGGAGATCAGCGTTCTTCTTCAGGTATCACATCTAAAAATGCACAAATGGGTACGCGGAGACTGACCGAGGTGATAGCGGTGATGATGAAATAGTAATTGCAAAAAGGAGCAAAGTGTTATGGTTTTCTTAAGCAACTCCCACTCCCTCTCACAGCTCCCTGGGATAAGAGCAGCCTTGAGGTGCCGTTAACGATGAGGAAGGATTTCTCTATTATTCCTTTAGACCGCAAGGCTGGGAGAGCACACGGAGTAATTAATTTTGACTTACAGAAGCTGTATTAAATTGGATAGAAATGGGTGAAAATAGGATTAGGAATGGAGTTTAGCCAAGAGCAAACAGAATTAAAACTCTCTAAGAGCAGGTCAACACAGCTGATATCATTGATGCAATGAAAGCAGACAGCTTGGGACATTTTTGAGTGGTAGCGTAATGTCAGAAATTGTAACCTGCCTACTACCCGACTAGATCAGGAGAATTAGAAAACAAAAAGTGATTTTTTTTTGGTTGGATTTCTGGCTGCCCTATCTGGTCTGAGCTTACAGGCTTCCAAAGATTAATTTTGAAACAATTGTGCAGAACAAGCAAGAGCCTCCATAAACCCCAACCAATCTAAATGTGCACAGTGCTTTCAACACATGCACCGAAATCTAATTAGTATGGGATTATGCTTGTCACAAATCATCAGAAATGGAAGGATTCTTAACGTGAAAACCAGCTCCTTGCCCTGAAAGCCTTCTCCCAAAGCCCAAAGACACACCAGATTCAGAACCTTTGCTTCCGTCAGCTGGGGCCACGTCTTCAGTCGTGGAAATTTGCATGTCTCTGCTTACAGATATCTTGATCCCCTGCCAGGGATATAGAAATATTTGGGCTGGAGGGCCTGGTTTAATCCAGAGTTGGTACAAGGGAATAAGGGCCCACTGCTCTGGCAGGGTTCAAGCTGGAAATTTGTTTTACTTCCCTGACACAGTTGGTAAAGGTCTGGGGTGAGTTTCCAATCACTGTTTTATCCCAGGGTAAATCCTACGGATCAAACTGAACCAGATCCTACTCTTCCCTCACAGCCGGGTCATTCCTTTGGGTCAGCTTCATGTAACCCAAAGCTGCCGACACCTGAATTTGCAGAGTAATCTCTCTAGAAGACGGACGCTTAACCTTTGTATGAGGCTTTCTAGCTTCATCCACCCAGCACTCTGCCAGCATTAACTAACGAACACGGAGCTTTACAACCCCCCGGCTGTGGGGAGCAGCAGGCCGGGGGCAGGCCGCAGTCGGACGGGCTGCCAGGCCGCTCGGTGGCCACCGATGGCCGCTTTCATGTGGGAACGGGACTTCTGCAGCTACTGGGAGCCGCGAATAAACACGGATTTCAGTTGTTTTCTCTGGGGTTTCCATGGTTTCTGGCACCGGTTTGTGTCCTTGTTCTAAAGTGGATGCTCTCCTAATGTGTTTTCTTTGGTCTGAGGTAGCACATAACATTGCTAGGAAACCTCAGACGTTGGCCAGAGGAGTGAGGCTGTGCCCGGGGTCCAGCCAGGGCTGCAAGCAGGGGGCACAGCCGTGGGGGCTGCCCCGTCCTCCTCTTCGCCCCCCTGAGGGAGCCTGGTGCTTGGGCGAGCACAAGTGCAAAGTCAATGCAACAGGTCTGGCCTGGAAAAACAAACAAAACCACTTAAAAATCCCTCTGCCAACCAGCTCCCCAAACCTGAGCCGCGCAGGGCGCAGTGCTGAGCCGGGGCTGTCGGACGGGTTCCCAGGCCCTGCTTTTGGTGCCTTTTATTTGCCAGAAACTTTATTTTCACTCATTACTGTATAATTCTGCAGGTGTTACATCACATCCCGGGCTGGGAAGATCAAAGCCGGAGCGCTGGCAAGCTCAGCTGCGTGCAGGTCCCATTTGGTTCAGCCATGCGTGTGGTGTGCCGGGGCACGACGTGGGCTGAGCCAGCAGCAGGGTGGTAGCAGCCCAGCCCTTGAGGAAGAACCAAGGGGTCCCCAAAATCTGCTGGGTTGGAAGGGGCACAGGGCTGGGTGGCTCTGGCTCGACTCTGCTTGTCTGGGTGGTGCCCGCTGGCGATGGTTTATGTCCATAGGATTTCTGCCAGGTCTGGAGGCAGAGCCCTGAAGTCTGCCTGGAATTGCTGGCTGCAAGTGAGAGGCAAGATTGTCCCAAAATTGCACAGACAGAGGGCTGTGGGGCACCCTGGGTCAGAGTCCCCACTTGGCACGTGTCCTCAGCCTGGTGGCCTCCACAAGCCATGTGCACAGCAGAGATTTGGTGACTATGTGCTGTGGGACGCGCTGCTGAAGAGGGGTGCCCAGGAACACACCGGATGGCCCAAGTGCTGGTCTGTGCCCAAAGCAATTTCCAGCCCCTAAATTAAGTCCTTGACTCCAAGATTACTCCCTCAATTACTGCAGAGTGGAGGCAGCAGTGTCCAGAACTCACCATCCTGCAGAGGATGCCTGTGTGTGGTTGTGCCGTGCACCTGAGGATGGGTCAGGGTCTTGTTTGCACTCCCCAGCATCTCAGAAGCAGACCCAAGTCCTTCCCCAGCACCGTGCAGTGGAGGGTGCCAGGGCCTGGCCCCTGCTTTTGCTGCAGTGCAAGGGAGGGGGTCAATGTGATTTTTAATCTCAACAGCATCTCGTTACTGTAAGTCAATCTAGATCTCTGTCAGCCCGCTTTTCCTTCCTCTGCACAGCGCTTCGCCTCCTCCCCCTTCCTCCTCAGAAGGTAACTGTATCTCCTACTTAGGCATGCATTCCTTTATAATAAGGTATTATGCCTCTATTTATATGCATCTTAGGTGCAGTCTGAGGCAGCTGCTGCTCTCCAGGGCCCTGGGTGAGGAGCAGAAAATTGAATTCAGCCTGGAATGTGCGGGCGCAGTTGGACATGTGCAGCCGGCCAGGGCCAGCCCTTCCCCTCTGCACGTATTTATCAGCCAGGTTATGCTCTGCGGGCTCGGGGCTGCTCCAGCCCAGGTGCCTGCTTGGTGTTTCACCAGCCACAGGTGGAAAGGGTGCACAGACCCAGGATGGACACATTCCCCAGGACTGCAGAGGTGTTTGCAGGCTCACTGGGCATGCCACCCGGCTGCAACAGATGCATGGGCTGAGGAGTGAGCATGTTGGAACAGCAGGGTCAAGGCTCCCCAAGTGTTGTCACTGCAACGGATTTGGGATTTTGGCTGCTCCCAACTGGCTGTGTATGGTCTGTGTGGCAGATGTCTGGGAGCCCGGGCTCTGCCCCCTCCCTCCGTGTCCCTGCCTTGCTCTGCCATCCAATACCACCGCGACGAATGCAGCACAAGGACCCAGCTGGACGGAGCTGGAATGGTGCATTTTAGCAGCCCTTTTTGGATTAAGCCATTACGGGCTGGACTGCTTGACCATGCCAGCGTTCTGTAATGATTTTCAAAGCAGTGAAACCTTTTCCAGCGGAGGGGCCCTTGGTCCATCCTTAGCAGCCCACAGCATTTATATGATGACAACATAGCTCTGTGTGGATGGTGGGAAGTGCTTTGCTGTTTGGCTTCTCCCCAGGCTAAAATCACAACCCTGGTGAAGTAAGCATGGTTATTGCCACTGGCCGGAATGAACACCATGTTTTTACCTCATCCTTCAGCTTCTGCAAAGACTGCTTCACTTGAAAGGAGACTTGGTTCATCAAGGAGCTAATTAATGGCCAGGCTGCTGTGTGGGAGCCCAGGGCAACTCCTCCCTGGTGGGACCGGGCAGGGTGAGGGGAGCTCTGACATCAGCCCTTCCGCCCTGATTAGCTCTCCCTCAGCCTGCGCTAATGAGCCTGAACTCTGACCCCCCAGGGAGAGGGGGCACCTGCCCCTTGGGCCTGATACCGGGGGAATCTGCCTGGGAATGGCAGCCGGGTTATCTGCCGGACTGACAGCCCGTGCTCTGCTTCCTTGCTGTCTTTATTTGCGGTCAGGATCATAACACGGCCCAGCTGGTGAGGTGGGGGAGAGTGGCCGCTCTGGTTACTGGGTCACTGGTGCAGATGTTCCAGCCTCCGCCAGGAACCAGCAAACAGCCCCCACGAACCCTTTCAGCACCCATTGCTCATCCCCAGCCTGGCTTTGAGATGTTGCAGAGGAAGGAGGCGATAAGCCAAGGTTTGGTGATGGCCCCTGCAGGGGGATGCGGTTTCATGGGGGTGTGTGGGTGCATGCATCCTGCAGCACTGCACCGGGATGCTGCCCCCAGCCCGAGCTGCTGGACGGCAATTTCTGGGGATGGAAACAAGGGAAAGAGAGGGTCTGTGGCTGCATTAAGGGTCTGGGGTGTTCAGGTGGGCTGGTTCACCACACTGGTGCTGTGGCACTTCCCAAACAGCATGGAAAATAGAAATCCCCCCTCCTTCATTCTGGTCCTTCCAAATCACTGCTTCCACCACCACAAACTTTTCTCAAATAGTGAAGTTCAGGAGTGGTTTTTTTTTGTTTTTGTTTTTGTTTTTGTTTTTGTTTTTTTTTTTGAGGGATTCTGTGATTCATTTGCAAACAGCTCAAAATGCTGGTTTTATGTGATCAGTAATATGCAGTTTTTCAATGAGCCTGATCTTCTCATCTTTCCAGGAACAGAGACTGTCTTCAGTACCCTTCAGCTGATTTAAACATTCCTGATGTGCAGGAGCGAGGATCTGTGCCTGCCTTTCATCCTCGCCCTCTCCAGGAATTGCGAGCTACAGACACCAGTAGGAGCAAGCAGAGAATTACGGAGGTGTGCTGTAGATTCTCCATCGCTTGAAGACTTTAACCCCAGGAGTTTTTTGCAAAGATCTGCTACGGCTCACAGAGGAGCTATGAGCTCCGTGTAGAAAGGTATGTCCTGTATTACGTGTGAAGTCAGACTTGATGATCATAATGGCCCTGTCTGGCTTTGAGAGAATAATGTCCCGTGTGGGTTTTCCTTCTCTTTCATGTAGGAATATCCTGGAGGAAGACTCGCAGTGGAGGTGAAACGGCAGATCAACACTGCGGCAGCAAGCTGAGGCTGCAGGGAATGACTCAGGGGGGAAATCAAAGGGAAGATGACTTTGTTACCAACCCAGCTGCAACTTCCTGCTCTGGTTAGAAAATACCCTAGGAGGTGACTTGCATGCCTCTGCCTTGCCTTGCTTCCCCATAATAAATGAATAGTGAACTTGTAGGGCAAACACTGAAGGGCAAGGGAAAGGTGGAATTCCCAGAAATTATCATCAATAAGTAAGCACAAAGACAGTCTCTGTCTTCCACCTCTCAGATTCCTATAAAAGGAGCTTTTCCGTGAGGGAGAGGGCTTTCCTCCACCACGCACAAGCTATAAACCAACAACTCTGACCACTTGGCACTCCTGTCAGTTCGCAGCAACACCTCTGAGCTCAGGGGGTGACCCAGACCTCACCCGGGGTCAATGAGCTGGCTTCCATCGGGGATGTGTTCTTTATAGTTCCTCTTTCTGCTCCCCCAGCCTTTAGTCCTTCTGCTGCCCGAGCTCTTCCCGCCTGGGGGTTTTGCTCTACGTGACGTGCAGCTCGTGGCTCTTGCCACGCTGGAGGTTTTGCACTGAACCTTATATCAAGGAGGGCTGGCCACCCCGTCCTGGCATAATTGCTTACATCTAATGGGACCTTTTCCCAACTGCTGTGCCTTCAGACTCAAACAAACCCTGAAACCAGAATGTGAATGCCACAACATTGCTAAAAAGACCATTGCCAATTTGTGTTTATGGTGAAAAATGGAAGCACAGGACCCGGCTCTTTTGGAGGGGCTGGAGGGAACACAGCCGGTGTTTTGACAAGCAGCTCAGAGGTTTCAGCTGATATGCTATACAAGCATAGGAGTTATTTTGGAAGAACAATGGTGACATTTCAGTATGAGCCACTGATTTTCAGCAAAACAATGACATTCTGGAAGGGAAATGCTTTATCTTTCAAAAGGCGAATTGTTCAGGTGCAGTGACAGAAGTGCCAGCATGAAGCAGATTACTTACATTGGACTTAATTTCAGTTGTTCGTGGGTGTACAAGACTTTGCTATCTGGCATGGCAAAGCCACCCTCTATGTTAGAGTGGGTGTGAAACAGGGAACCTGGGGGAAGAAGTCAGTTGTGCCTCACCTATAGAAGAAAACTGGATCCTGTGGGCTCAAGGAACCTGCCCAAGGTGTGATGCTATTCAGTCTTCTGATTAAGCACCAGGATGCCCTAGCTCAGTGTAAATTTTCTAGATTTGCAGGTGAACAAGTGCGAGGTACTGCAAAAATAACCTGTGGATAAATGGCAAGGATGCAGAGCAACTGGACAGGTGGTGGTCCTTCACAAAAGAGTCTGAAGATTATGGCAGGCCACCAGCTGAATCATTGATGAAAGAAAGGGTGCAGGGATAATGGTTTGGCCTCAGGAAGAGAAAACTGGAAAAGCAGATGAGAGCAATCTTCAAAAACTGCTGCAAAAGAGAGAGGGAATGATCAGTTCTCCACATGCACGATGGAGAAGAGGCGGCTTAAATTTCACTGCAGAGGTTCAGACTGAATTTTGCTGAAAGCTGCGAGGGGGGGGGGGGAAGATAGCGAAGCAGGGCTACAGCCCCACTGCCAGCTTCTGCCTGCTGAAGGTCTCTGGCTGCTCAGAAGGAACAGCAGCAAAACAGATCCTGCTGTGGGGCAGCTGGGATCTGCTCCTCCCCATGGCAGTAGCTCTGTTTTCATGGGGACGATGATTTGTACCCAAAGTGTGTAGCAGAAACCCCGGCTCCATTCCTCTGGGTGGCAATAGTTTATTCTTGCAACCAGGTATTTTTTAATTACCTTCCAGCGGTCTGTGCAGCCCTTCGCTTTGCCGTGATTATGTTACTGCTCCTAGACCCAGCGAAAGAGGATATGCGGTAACAAGTCAGAGCAGAGGAAGGCTTACGTTTCAGCTTACTTGTGTGCTAATCTGCATCCTCTTTTCCGAAATCCTCTTAACCTCTGTGTTTTTTCAATCACCTGTGTTTGCACCAAACATTACTACAGCGGACAAAAATTGAGCAACAGAAGATACCTTAATTTCCAGCCTGGTGAACTCCGCGAGCTAACTAACCCGCTAAGGTATTTATGAATAGACTAAATGGCATGATCTGCTGATAATTTGATCTAAAAGTGTCTGGTCGCTGCTCTCTTTCTTGCCCCACCTATTGTCTGGTCGAGCATTGTAATTTCAGGCTTTGCTCGATGTACTCGTCTTTTGAGAAGACTGTGACCAAGTAATCGAGGCTGTCATCACAGCAGAACCTGGCTCAGGAGTCAAAAATCTCCCCACTGGTCTTTTTTCATTTCCTGGCTCAGCATCAGGGGAAGAGATTATGTGATCTGATAGGTAAAATTATCCCATCAGAGGTGAATGTCCTAATAAAAGGCTTTTGCAGGCCTGGTTGTGTGATATCCCTGAGAAGGCTACATTCACTCGGAGCCCTTTATTGAAGGGAATGCTCAGTCCCTATGGAAACCCCACAGGACAAAAGGTGATTCTAGCTGCTAAAACACCGCAGCTACACACACACAGGTCAAGGATGAAAAACTGTTGCATTTTCCTGGTTGGGAAAACAAAAACAACAAAAAAAAGGGAACAACAACAAAACACCCCAATGTTGGATGCTTGGCACAAAAATGAGAGCTGTATTTTCCCAGCTGGTTAAAATCTGGGAGACAAGCACTGTGTGGCCTGTTTGTCCAGAAATTAGAGTAAAAATGTAGAAGTCCTAGTTGTGTTTAGTGGGGAGAGTTAATAGGGTTCAATGAATCTGCAGAAAGAAAAATAGAAATCTTTCTGGGAGTCCGTCTTCAAGACCCCTGTCTGGGTCTCGAAGGAGGAAAAGGGGAGAAGGAGCTCGGTGGTTGTGCCGAGAGGCCGTAGGCTGTGGGGCAGCAGAGCTGTGGGTGAGCTCAACCCTGGTGTGGTGATGGCACACTGAGCCCTGCCATGCCCTTCATCACCCCAAACCCCCCGACCTCAAACCAAGGAGAGCCCTCTGCAAGGGTCTGGATTTGTTCCTGCGTCTTGGGTAGACGGGGGGGGGGAGATAAAGGCGAGCACGTCGCACAGCTGAAAAGTGTGTTTTCAATTAAAAGAAGAAAAAGCTCCAAAACGCACAGTGGGTTAAGCATTACAGTAAAAAGCATTCGAGCTGCTCTTCCATTGAGATGTAACCAACAGTTTATGTGTGTGATTGCAGGCAGGTGGTTCCTGTTCGTATTAAAAATGAGTAATCCAAGCTCTCGGAGGATTTCTTCAGAGACAATCTGGACAGACCTGGAAGTCCAACGTGCCTTTTAAGCCCTAAGTGTTTTCCCTCCACATCCCAGAGTTCTCCTTTCCAAGCACTTGGCCAGCAGAGAGGGATCATCTCACTCCCCCATCAGGGAGGGAAAAACCTGGTACCATAAATCCAGAGCCCCCCCGTGCCCCAAAGCCTCCAGGCCCCCAGCTTCCCATCAGAGCCTTGCTGCGCCGTGGGGCCACCCCGGCTCAGAGGGGATTGCTTGGGGTGGTGAGCTCCGGGAATGGTGAGCACCAGGCACAGGTGGCATGGGGATGCTCCTCAGGTGCCCTCTGTTGTCCCTGCTTGGCTCCAGAAACACAAGATCTCCTCTGACGGTGGCGTGGCTGTGGCTCCCCTCTGCTTTTGGGTACGGTTGTTTGGAGATTCTCACCCCCAAAGCGCCCACCCCTCTCCCTATCACACAAAGGAGAAGAAAAAAAAAAACTAATAATATTTTAGAAGAAGGCCTGAAGGCTGCATTGCCGTTTAACTCGATCGCCCGGGGGAATAAAGGAATACCACATGCAGAGATCTTTTACTTAACATTGCGATGTTTAATCTTGCCCAGTCAGCAGTTTTTGAACATATTCCAGGAAAGCTTTTAAGCCTGATAAAGCCGGGGCTTTTGCATTTTCAAGTGATACTTTAGCTACAGATGACATGCTCTACTTGTCATTTGGCTTTAAAGGAAGGTAATTAAAATCTTCCTAAGAGTACGGTTACACCGGGGAAAGAAATAACATAAACTAAAATAAAGAGAGAGAGAGAAGCCCACAAAAATGCAATTTAGCAGATGAAAAATGTAAAGAAAAACTGTTAAAAGATAAAAGTATCAAATGCACAATAGCAGTTTGCCGAAGGAGGACTAATGATATGGGAGGTACTGCGACTTGCACAGGGAGAGCATGGGCAAGGCTAGGGAATTTCCAGCACATATTAATTGCAATTTTTAGGGCCACTGGAAGCCACAAGACAGACTTGCAGAAGGCTGGAAGCTCCACGGCAGTCCTGGCCGTGAAAGACATGCTCCGTTCGGCAAGGTGTGAAGAGGAGATAAAAGACAAATCGAGATTTGGTCCCCTGCCCCTCTCTGGGTGGGTGCAAGCGAAGCTTTTCAGCAGCCTGGGGGGGGTTCAGTGACCCTCCGTGATGACTACCCACAACCAGTCAGGTTGGGCTCCAAACCATCATCCTTTCTGGGGCTTGGAACAGGGGGCGAAGCCAGGTGAAGACAAGGATGCTGGTGAAGCCATGAGACCGTTTCCCTGGTGAAGGAAAGGGTCCATACCTGCAAAGCGGCTCCCCAAATCCATGCTGGGAAGTGAGAACCATTGGGAAGCACAGCCTTGGCATAAGGGTGGTGGGAGGGGGACAGCAGCTCCAGCCCCCAGCGCACATCTCAGCACCTTTCTCCCCAAAAGCACCATAGCAGGATCCCCTTCCCTTCTCCTTCAGGAACGCCTCACACTGTCCTGTCATTGCTAGTTTTGATCTGTGGGGAGGAAAAGCAGCATGGCTGAGGTGCATCATTCCCAAAGACCCTCACTGCTCCCGAACAGCTGGGATAGTTCAGAGACCTTCCAGCGTAAAAACGGGGAAATGAAATTTTCTCCTAGGATCACATCAAGCCCGCATCATTCAACAGCCTCTGGCATGCTCAGCCGTCGGGAGAGGCCCGCTGAAGAGTTCAGCAAACACAGACACTATCCATCTCTCTGGGATCAGATGTAAAATAGAGATCCTGTTTGTTCGGGTCGTGCTCTGATACCAGAGCGGACGGAGCAGCTGGTGGCTTGGAGCCTGGAACTTCCCTTGTGATGCCAGGTTCCCCCGAGCCACGTATTTATTAGTATCATTTGATGCTATAAAATTGGTAATCTTTCTGCATGTTCACTGCATGTATTAGTTTTTCTCTGTTACTTATTATCATTCCCTCTTGCCTCTATCTTCCTCCCTGCTCTGAAGAGGCACAAATGCCAGCTGAGAAGACAGGCAAACTTTGTCCTTGGAGAGAAGAGCAGGAGAAAGACTGTTTCAACAAGCCCAACTGCAATACACACATTTTTTATGGTGAAGATACCTGTCTGTGCCCAGAACAGACCTTTATCTATATTAATATAAGGCAGTAGGTGCTGTACCCATGGGCTGTGCTTGGATCCATTATCCAAAAGCCATGCATTGGTAGGTGAACAGCTGGTCTCTCATTTTTGTGAAACCCCACAGGACCTTTTCAAGGATAGGTGTGTTGTTCTGGTGGGAAGTCAAGGTGTTGAGATGCTCTGGACTGAATCCATCCCCGTGCAGACGCACTCCTAGCTCGATGCATGGCAGCTGCGGCATGGGGATGGAACCTGCCCCCTCGGGGTGGAGATGCCACCATCAAAGGCAGCTCAGGTTTTCCCCTTTCTCCACCAAATACCCACCTCTGGCTCCAGATGGAGTCGTCTCTGGGGCTACATCTAACAAAAATTCCTCCCTGACCTAGAAATCTTCAGAGGACTTGAAAGCTTTCCTATCCCAACAGACCAGTTTTAGCACCACAAAGCCTTTGCTGACGAGTCCCAGCAGCAGGTGCAAAATGAAGAAAACCCAAACCCAGAAGCTGACATACCGTGCTGCTCCCTCGGAGACTGAAGGAATGGCAGGAAAGCTGCATGCAGTAGCGGAGATGAAAGATGCTGCTGACTTTTTGCTGACATGTACAAATGCGATCCCGACTATTAACTTTAATGACCTGCCATTATGTGAGGGAAAAAGGGGGAGGGATCTAATTTTTTGGTAATTACTTTAATTGCCACCCCGTGGTCTTGTTTCGTGCTGCTGGTTTTGCAGTCAGGTGAAAAAAGAAAAAACAACAACAACAACAAAACAACCCTCTGGTATCTCAAATTTGGTTTTTCTCCTGTCCCAGTAGTGCAAAATTCAGTCATCCATGGAACCTAGAAAATGATTTTGCAGATTTAAATGCAACAAACAAACGAGAGCTCCATTCTTTAGTATGGCCTTGAAACAACAGAATTGTTGGTACAGATGAATCTTGGTAATTAAAATAAAATTGAGCCCTTAAACAAACCATGGGTTTGCAGAGCACGAAGTGGTGAAACTGGGAGAAGCCATAAGCAAAGGGATGGTGTGCATTTCCTTCTGTGTGAGGAAGACTTGATTGTGTAAGGGCAGTTTGCTCCTGTTGAGGGTTCTATTAAAGTTAATGAGACTAATTTACTTCATGTCAGGGTTGCAAGATCAGGCCATCATCCCTGTGGGATTTCAGTCCCCAGCACTCGACTGGGAGAGATTTATTTTTATTTTTTTCATTTTCTGTAATATCTGCTATCTATCCATTACTCTGTGAGTGATTATTTAGTGAACAGAAGATTATTACACCAAACATATTTAGCATTGCATCATACTTTTCATCGTTGTGAAAAATGCTTTAAAAATGGGGAAACTTTTATGTTTTTGCTTTTAGAGACTGACAAAATGAGGAAAAGGAGGATGAAATCCAATGGCAGCCCACTGGGAGGATCTGAGGAGATGTCAATGATACGGGGACTTCTGGGGCCCAGGGTCTGCTCCAGCATTCCTGTTGGACTGGCTGCATCAGGAGGGAAATTTTTTATTTTTTTTTTTTCCTGAAGCTCTGTTGGTTTTTGTGTTTTTTTTTTTTTTTTTTTTCTTTTTTTTTTTGATGGAAAATGTAAATTCCATCACTGTGAAATGTGTAATGAATTTCTGATCATTTTGCCCAATGATTAGCTTTAGAAAAAGCAAAGAGATAATTCTGCAAAAGCACTCAAAGGTCTTGTTTTGACATTTTTCGAAATGTACCATTTCATTTCTTGTTTCAAGCTTTCCTTTAATTGCATAAATGGTTCCAAGACATTTTCAAGAAATCAATGAAGGGAATGGTTTCAATTTGATTGAAATGTAACATTTTATATGACCCATTCTACTTTTTCTTTCAGTTAGTGATTTGCCAAAAGATTAAAAAAAAAATGCCTGGTTTTGATCCAGCCACAAATGATTTTTTCCTTAGCTTTTTCAAAATTGCCAGTAAAAAACTTAACCCTCTTTTCCTCACAAAGTCCCACAGCTCCCTTCAGAGCCTCCCTGCTTCGGTTTCCCTGCATGTAAAATGCAGTAAATTATTTCCTGTCCAGTGGAAGGGCTGAGATAATAAACTTCAGGGCTTGCAGATCGCTTCTAGATCCTCAGCTGGAAGCTCCTCGAGTGTCAGCAGAGAGCCAGGTACCTGTGGCCATCTCTGGTAGAAGTGAAGGCAGGAGCAGGAAGGTCCCAGGGCTTGAACCCGACGCAGGCTCCGTGAGGTTTATCCTGGCAATAGGCACAGGCTCTCACACCTGTACACAAGGCTGAGCTGCCTTTGGGCTGAGCGCCCGCGCTGCGAGCTATTTTGAAGTCTCAGCAAGCTTAGCTTTTGATTTGAGGCTGAGCTTTTATTGCCACGAGTTGGGGGAGGCCTTGTATGCGAGCAGAGCGCACGGCGGGTGCTAATCTTCAGCCTTTGACATGAGCCCGGTGGGGTGGGAAGCGTAGAGAATTGCAAAGTCAAGACCTATTGTTAGGTGCACCTTTCTCCCCACTTGTGCAACCTCCGAGGCGTTTTTCTAACAAGTATTTGTATTCTTTCTTCGCTATTTTACTCTTGAAACTACTGAAATTAAATCAAAGGGAAAATGGATAGTATCTTTGGGACTCCATAGAAACAGCATAGCTCCTCTGGGACAAAGATCACATAGTTTGGGGGATTATGCTGGAAAGAGTTTAAAGCAAACTCCCTTGGAAGTAGGAGGCACCAGAGATGACAACCCCCCCCCTCCTCGCTCAGTGCTTTCCTACCCCATTCTGCAGAACCTGGTGATTTTACAGTTTCCAGTGAGATTTGGATGGGAAAACAAGCGTTGGGCTTAAGCAGATCCAAGTGGGCAGGTGCATCAGTCCCTCTTGTTCCCATGCACTCCTGGAGGGGAGCCTGGATGAGTGCTCCTGCATGCAGGGAAGAGCAGCTCCGTCCCACCACCTCTTCCTGTGACCCCAAAGCAGAGGGCAGTGGCTCTCCATCTGCAGGCACGAGAACTGAACCCACATCCAAACCCCAACTCCCATTTCAGGTCTTGGGACCAGCTTGTGCCAGGCTACAGAGCTGGCATTGATCACTAATGCAAAGCTGGGTCCGAACTGATCCACTGAAACCTTGTCTTACAGTAGTTCAGGTGACCTGAATGAGAAATAATCACAAATAGATGTGAATAGTCCAAATACACCAAAACAAGACCCAGCATCAGGAAAGAAGCCATGCACTAGAGAATTTTTCAGCTGTGCTACAACAGGGCATCACAAAGGATGCCTTCCATTGCTTCATCTTGTCTTCCCCAGGCTGAGCTTGGGGTGGTGGTATGGGTAGCACACACATCTCTGAAATGTCTGTCTCTCTCTGCATAGACTTACAACATAAGAGAGGCTGCACAGAGGGAGAAACGGCAGACCTGAAGCTCTTGACACTGAGGTTCCTAAAGGGCATGGGTCATAAAAGCTGAGCACTTCTGCTCAGGGTGGAAGCACATCGATAGGGATATCTTCTGTGATGTGATTTTGTATAAAATTAGAAATCATACCTCTCCAGGGCTCTTGCTCTGGTCACTATAAACACCATAAGACTCACAAGGGCAAAGAAGAAGCAAACATTCTTTACCCTTTTTACTGTTTTCCATTTAGTCAACATTTAATGTTTTGAATCCTTGGTGTACTGATTGCTATAATTGAGTAACCCCTGCAGAAGAGGGGTTGTATCTTGCTTTTAGCCCATAACTGCTGGCCAACTCCAAGCAAAACCCAGCTAGAAAAAGATCTAAAAAAAGTACTGAATGTGTAATTTATCCAAATGTCATTGCACTCTTGGGAAGGGCAGCAGGGAAACCAACATTCCTGTCTCCAGTGAGCATTCCACAGAAATTCATTGAGGAAAGGAGAGAAAAAAAAAACAAACACACAGCTAACACACAAAACACTTCAAAAAGCTCCCAAATGCTGAGATTTTCTCTGCAGACAGACAGCATTTTCCCACCTTTTCCCCCAACCATGACTCTAGATCATTACTTGAAGGTGCTAAGTGGCTTGGATGTTCCTAACCCAGGTTCCTTTCAAAGGAGGGCAGGGAAGCAGAGACATCTCCCAGCTGGGGGCTGAACTGGAGCTCGGTGCCTGTGCAGGAGCATCACCCCCTGTCCCCCATCACCCCCATGTCCCCTGTCTGCAGCTGTGGAAGCTGGTGGGACGTCAGCCTGCCATCTGGTGCTAAAGGTGGGGAGATGCCATCACAGGAGGTCCAGTATCTAAAGCTGTTGGTTGCACAGCAGGACAGATAACTCGTCTGGTGCACGGGTCCTTCAACCCTTCCCAAATTATGTCAGTGCAGCAGCAGCCTCCCTGAAGAATCTCACCAGCAGGTCACTGCAAGTGCTTTGTACTCATGGTGTCTCACCAAGGCTTGCCCTCCAGTCCCTGATGAAGTAAACCCAAGCGGTCAGCAGGTGACTCACTAACAGACTTCAAAGGAAATTCAATTCCCAAGAACTGATTATTTTTTTTTCCTTAATCAAGGTACTTTCCATTTCTATTTATTAATTAGTTACCAACCAGAGCTATTGTTATATCCTGTCTAATGACTTTCCCTCTATTCTCATTCTTGTTTGCTCTAGTATGAAAAACTAATTTAAAGAGAAGACTTCAACAAGATTGTATTACAGTGTCACAAAGGAAAGAAAGCAGGTTGAAAATCGGGCGTTGCAGGTACCGCAGGGTGCAAGCAGAGTTCCGGCTGGAGTAAGGACAGTGCATTGAACAGGGAGTGCGTGGAGCCTGTGCCGGGATCTACAGAAACCCAGCTTAGCCAAAAGGATATTGTTTAACCAGTTTTTAAGTTTACTTAGCTCGGGCGGTGAAACTTGTCTGGCCAGATTGAGCCATTTTCATTTCCTTGTTCTTGTTTTCAGAGGATGTGGGAAATTTGCAGAAAAGATGCAGAAGAGATTTTGGAGGGGAAAGCTACAATCCAACATTAATATTTTGCTGGGGAAAAAAAAATAATGAAAATAGCTCTAAATTAAGACTGATATGTTCTTGATAATAAAAAGAAATTGAAAAATTTACTGAGGTATCCATCCATTCTGAGGCCTCATTTGCACTGTAAAGTCTGATCTGGTTTCACACCCTCCAGAGATATTGCCTGGTAGGGGGGGCCCTTACAAGCTTTTGGTCTCCATATAAAAGGGATGCAGCTGATAAATCAGAGGGGAATTTGCCATTATCTGACAGTTACTCTTTCAAAGTGTGTATATTAGAATTCACTGCCCTTGTTTCTAGTCTACTTGCCATGTAAGAATGTGTATGTTTTTGAAATAAAAGACTCAGCCTAGAGAAGAGCTGCTTCAGCAGCACAGAGATCCCCCCATGACCAGGAGAACCGTGTGTCTCTGGTTTGTTCA